GGCATATGTTTGTATTTTTCATGAGTAACAACTATTTACAGTATTTACAGTGATTCACAGCTTGAGACTGAATATTAAAAATATGAAGGAACAAAAGATGTGATTTGTACATTTTATGATTCTTACTGCATTGATATAAACACATGGATGAAGGTGTTGAAGTAAAACATGTCAGCAGACTCCTCCTCCACATTTCTTCTGCAACATGGAAACAGCAGTAAGCCTTGGTTGTCAAAGTTGTACCCACGCAGAACATCTGGACTGCTCCCTGGTTCTGGCTTCTGAGAAGACGTTTCCAGTGACACTTGCAGAGACTGAAGATGTGAAGTGTGGACACAAAACATGTTGGGAAGACTGCAGCATCGGAGGAAGAGCAGGGAAGTGTAGAGCCATGTGGTCCAGAATGATGCTACGCAGGACTTCTCAGGTGGACACTGGTAAAACATCTGTGAGTCCTGTGGCACAGGACCACATCTGGATGGTACCAGTTCCAAACTTAGGATGTGCGAAAAGTGGTTGGGACTCCAGCTGACGTAGTTTTTCCTCCTGCTGTCACCCAGTGAGATCTAAAACAGATAACTGATTTTAGCACATACATGTAATACTTGTTATAACATATTTAGCTTTAAACAAGTAATAGATTCTAGTTTGAAGATGAGCTGAAACAGCAGCAGAACAAAACAAACTATGCTGCTACAACAACAGAAGACAAATTTGACCTATAGTTATGCAGAAGTAAAGCACAATTTGAACATCAAGCATCATAGCATCTTATAACTAACATCTAGGACGTTTTCTTTCATAAATTGTAATGGCAAACACATATCAGAATGTTAAAATATTTAAAAGTTTACACCACGTCAGTCTCAAATATTCCAAATAATTTAGCACACTAAATTAGGCTTTATTACGATGTCTATGTACTTCACATGTTATAGCTAATGGTTAGCTCGCTAAGCTACGTCTTTTCTTACCTTGATAGCTGTTGATATATTCTTCATGGAAGAACTTATATCCTTTCTCAAGTTTATTGGTTCGAGAATTCACAGCTGCGATTTCCTCCACATCAGCGAAAGAAAAGGCTGGCATTTGCATAGACTCGCAATAACAGGAAGTGACCCAGCACCACGAGACGCTACTTTCGGTTGTCGTGAAAAAGGTCTATTGCCCTCACATCTGTATTATGCAAATGTATGGAGCACTTAGTGAGCAGGGAACTCGTCTTTTACAGCTGAGCATATGGACCCTTTGCAGTTTGCCTATAGGACTAACCGAGGGGTGGAGGATGCCACTCTGTCCCTCCTCAACAAGGTCCATAATCATTTAGACAACCCAAAGACACATGTTCGCATATTATCCATGGACTTTTCATCAGCTTTTAATACGGTTCAGCCACATATACTTTTAAAACGCCTGTGTGATCTAAATGTCAGCAGCCATCTTATGTTGTGGATTAGCAATTTTTTAAGAGGAAGACCCCAGTGAGTTTGTGTTGATAACACTCTATCTGGTTTGATGACAGTTTTCTGGCCCTTAATGTCAGTAAAACCAAGGAACTTTGTTTGGGAGGTAGATGGGAAGCAGCCAGCACCAGACCTACATTTAGGCCTTCTATTATAAAAGGGCAGGAAGTAGAGCAGGTGACTGATTTTAAATACCTTGGAACAATAATTGACATGTTGACCTTTGAGCCCAACACTGACTATATTTACAAAAAAGCCAGACAGCGTCTCCACCTTCTGTAGAAGCTGAGGAGCTTTAATACAAGCAAAATTACTTTGCAGTTGGTGTACAGGTCACTGGTTGAAAGTGTTGTTTCATTTAATATTGTCTCATGGTATGGGAACCTTCTAGCCAGAGACAGGAACAAGTTGTCCCGGGTGGTCAAACAAGGTAATAAAGTCATTGGTCATCAACAAATGACACTTACAGACCTGTACTGTCAGGTTCTGGAAAAAAAGGCAATACAGGTTTACAATGACCCAACTCATCCACTGCAACCATCATTTAAGTTGGTACCATCTGGTAGAAGACTGCTTGTTCCTTTAGCAAAGAAAAATGGGTACAAAAAGTCATTTGTTCCCTCTGCGGTGAATGTACTTAACAAGGTCCTATTTAAATGCAGCCTCACATAACAAATCACTGTCTGCTGGAATGTTTCCATATTTTAATGTATCGTGTATTTTAGAATGGTTTTAACTGAATGTTTTTAACTGATTTCTCAAAGCTTGGTTTTAAAGTTTTTAAAGTTTTTTTAAATCACATTCTTATTGTTTTTATAAGCCAGATGTCAAAGACAAATCTCCATTTCATTGAATGTTATGAACAATAAAGTTGAATTGATTGATTGATTATCACATTCATACACCAATAGGACACACACCAGAGGCAATGAGGGGTTTATTGTCTTGAACAGGGACACTTGGGCATGTGACTCCTATTTGAGTCGAACCCCCAACTATTGCATTGAAGGACGACTGCTCTAACCATTCAGCCACAGCCGCCCTTTTTAGAGAAGTACATTCTGATGCATGCTCAATAATCCAGGTACAAAAATCTAAAAAAGCTAAGTCAGGTCCTCTGGACGTTCAAAAAGCAAAAAATAAATAAAAAAATGTAGAAACATTTCATCTTTCATCCGAAAGACTTCCTCAGTCTGAGGTGCTGTATTCAGCTAAGTCTTATAAATAGCACCTTCTCGTAGTGGATCAACCAGTTTGCTGCTGACAACCAAAACTAGCTGTTCACATGAACAAGAAGGACCATTAGCCTAACGATTTATGGTTAGCACCCTGATGGCTGCTTGCTATTCACAGGGAGCTGAGTGATACAAGCAGTAGCAGCATGATAAGAGGGGGACAGTTGAACACGGAGGCCTCCACCCCTGTTTAATGATGGGCGGTTTCTTTTCACAAACATGGCCTCCTTTACTCCTCTCTCAAACCATCGTTCCTCTCTATCCAGGATGTGAACATCTTCATCCCTGAAAGAGTGTCCACTGGCCTGGAGATGAGTGTAGACTGCAGAGCCCTGGCCTGATAATGTTGCTCTTTTGTTCTGGGCCATCCTTTTGGCCAGTGGCTGTTTAGTTTCCCCGATGTAAGACTGACCACAGCCCTCCTGACACTGAACAGCATACACAACATTACTCTGTTTGTGCCGGGGGACTGGATCTTTGGGATGAACCAGTCTTTGCCGTAATGTATTTTGGGGTTTAAAAGCCACTGGGCCATTGTGTTTAGAAAATAAATGTCTCAGTTTCTCTGATACTCCAGCATCATTTGGAATGTCCACTGGTCTGGGTTCCTCCTTTTCACCTGATGGCTGACTGGAGTCCTGTTTGGGTTTTTTCTCTGCTTTCAGGAAGGCCCAGTTAGGATATTCACATTGCTCCAGAGCCTGTCTTGTGTGGGATTTCTCCTCCTGCCTGGCTCCTGAGTTAGTGGGGACGGTGTCTGCTCTGTGGTACAGAGTCCTGATGACTCCTAACTTGTGCTCCAGAGGGTAATGGGAGTCAAACTGCAAATACTGGTCTCTGTGTGTGGATTTGCAGTACACCTCAGTTTGCAAATGTCCTCTATCAGATACTGAGACCTCACAGTCCAAGAAAGCCAACCTGCCATTTTTTTTACATCTTCTCGTGTGAACTTGATGTATTTATCCACAGAGTTGATGTGATCGGCAAGATTCAACCCAGTTCAAACAAAAAAAATCTGTTCATACATACCATATCACAGGAGAGCTCCCTGTTTTTGTTGACAAACTAGTGCTGCGCTTCTTCTTCTTCTGTTTTAAAGGAGGCACGCACGGCTCTTCTTATTCTTCTCTGTCTGTAACGTCAGAGCTGCATCGCCGGCACGATCAGCTGCTACAGTAACAGAGGTTGTTGCACGCAACAGCTCCCGCACACACCGCACTGTAATTACAGTCTATATGCAACATTTCTTTTCTCATTCATAACTTGCTCAAATCGGGGGCATTTTCGGGGACAGCTTTAGCTGGGCACGGATCGTCCAAAATGGGGATTGTCCCCGAAAATCGGGGACGTCTGGTACAGCCGGTTATGAATCTTAAAATATTTTAAACATCTGAAGCTCTCGACCTTGACCTCTCTAAGTGACTTTAAAACTCTAAGTTCCTGGCAAAAACGAATGCAGACATATTCCTGTTTTTTTAGTTTTCTAAATCGCCTTATAATCTAGCTGTTTTTTTTTTGCTACTATTCCTCTTGATTGTCCTTTTGGTTGCTATTTTTTTTGATTTGTAAAAAAAACCCCAAAAACTTAAATTTATATGCCTATGCCCATTTTACGACTGTCTGTTGTTGTCCTTGTTATCCATTGTTGTTATCACTCTTTGTGAAGAAATCAGGTCTCTTGTAAATGAGACCCCGAGGCTCAATGGGATTAACTTGTCTAAATAAAGGTTGAATGAATGAATGAATGAATCTTAGGGCACCATAGGCGGCATCTGCAGGGTGCTTGTAGGAGCGTTCATGTAAATAATATCACCATTGTCAATGGAGCGAAGGAAAGTCACAGTTACATCAGCTGTATGCATGTATTGCAGAAAATAGTCAGAGACAACCAAGAGGATAAATGGACAATATGCAATAACACCTCCTAAATGTTTGGTCAGAAGGCGTACACGGTATGTTTACATTTTCTGATTTTGTTATATGTTTAATTTTGGTTATAAATGCAATTTTGCTAACCCTTTTTTTTTCAGTTTTTCACGGTGTTTGCCGGCAAAAGAAGATTTCCTGTGTGACAAAAAAATAATTAAAAGCTTGGTAAACATCATTTGGAGAGTGGCCTTATGCTGTACCAGACGAAAAGACTTTGGGAGCGGTTACAATAACGGTTTAAATATTTTCCATTGAGGACACTGATTTCCATGCAGGCACCTATTAAGATGGCGTCAACATATCTCACCTGGCCACATACAAATGTCCAATCTCGCGGGATGTTAATGAGGCGGTCCTACAATCAGCCAATCAGCGTTGAGGTCCACCTTCACGTGTTACTGTGTGAGTCGACGCTGGCTTCAGGGAAACATATCGATGTTTTAGCCCAGGTAGTGGAGCTTTTCTTGGGTAAGTTTGGCCGTTTAATCGGTCCAATGTAACATGAAAACTCACAGGGTGTTTTATGGAGAGCCACGCTGTCCGTTTCTAGTCCATGCTGATCTGTTATGAGTCTAGTATCTGCTGCAGCGCTGCTGTTCCGGTTAGGCCCGATCTAGTTCCAAGTCCAAAGTCAGTTTTTGGCTACCCGAAGAAGAAAAGTTAAGACACTGAAATGGTTTGGACATATCCAGAGGAGGGACAGTGAGTATTAGTAGGATGTTAGAAACGCAGGTGCCAGGAAAAAGACAAAGTGTTAGGCACTTGGACATTTTTCGAAAGTTGATAGTCCTTCTGCTTGCAACAAAAAACTAACGCAACAAGGACACGGCTTCATTTGTTAACGCTGCATGAATAAGACAGGAGATATGTCATTCAAAGTACTAGTTTTAATGCACTTTCATGTAAGCGTTTTTACATAACAATAGAGAAAAATGATTGTGTTAAACAATTGACATTTCTGGCTGAAAAGACGTGTTTATTAGAATGGACACCATTTCTAAGTGGTAAACAATATACTAATCAAATTAAATATTAAATATATGTAAATGGTGTTCAGCAGGAACACCAGGAACCTTCTCACCTGTTCACCAGGTAAGAAGGGGTGCTCAGCAGACCAAAAGACCATGGGCATTTCTGGACCATAGGCGTATGTGGACGGCAAACACTGATTTACAGCTGTATTTGCTGGCGCTTTCGGAAAAATACGTCAGCTCTTTTTTAAAACTGAAGGTTTCTAAGAACCAGCGTTATATCTGCTCTCAAACACAAGAAGATTCTCTTTTTTGTTCTTGGGTTAGGCTGCACCTGACACAGGTCGGCTTGAGTCTGGTCTGGGTACAATGAAATATGAAGCATCTGAAATAAAACCTGCTCCCATTTGTCAAAAAGTCTGGTCTCAATTCAAAATCATGAGTCCTGTGACGAGATAATGGCCCAAAACAAAAGTTGAAAACAAAATTTGCTGTTTAGAAGTGCTCTGTGAGATCTGATGTATGAAAGGAGCTGAAACATGGAGTAGGATTGACCCTTAAAATGCGAGACAGCTGAGGAAGGTAATCAGTTAGCAGAAATATCTCCTCCAGTTGCAGAAATCTTACAGAAACTGACATTCACACATCTGCAGTCTTCTTCTTCTTTCAGCTTTTCCCTTTTCAGGGGTCGCCACAGCGAGTCATCCTCCTCCACCTCTCTCTGTCCTCCAACTACCTCCATGTCCTCTCTAACTGCATCCATATATCTCCTCTTTGTCTTTTTCCAGGCATCTGCATTTCTAACATCCTTCTACCAATATACCCACGGTCCCTCCTCTGGACATGTCCAAACCATCTCAGTCTGGCCTCTAACTTTATCTTCCAGTTGTTCAACCTGTGCTGTACCTCTGATGATCTCATTCCTGATCTTCTCCATCCTTCTCACTCCTAAGGAGAACCTCAACATCTTCATTTCGGCCACTTGTAGTTCTTTCTCCTGTCTTTTTGTCAAATGCCACTGTCTCCAGACCATACAATATAGCTGGTCTCACCACTGTCTTTTTTCCTTTGACCTTTGCTGACACCTTTTTGTCACAAATCACCCCTGAAACTTTTCTCCATCCACTCCATCCTGCCTGGACTCTCTCTTTCACTTCTTTACCACATTCCCCATTTTCCTGGGCAGTGGACCCCAAGTACTTGAAGTCCTGCGCTTTTGTGACCTCTGCTCCTTGTAGCCTCACTGTTCCACCAGCCTCCTTCTCATTCACACAGAAGTACTCTGTCTTACTACGGCTGACTTTCATTCCTCTTCTTTCAAGTGCATACCTCCACCTCTCCAAGTTCTCTTCCACCTGTTCCCTGTTTGCACTACAGTAGGGCCAGTGTTTCCCCTAGATAACTTGCCATGGCGGGGCCCTCATCTCGTCCGTGATTTTTGTTGGGGGTGTGTGCTGGAACGGAGACTCGTCCTAAGCTGCGCAGCGTGCTGTTTAAACCAATAGTTTTGAGGGACACAGAGACAGCCGCGTGCTGTTTGTACTGACAGTTTTAGAGCAGGGTGTGTGAGATGAGAGAGACTGACATATCTCAGCCGTGCGCTGTCTGAACCGACAGTTTTTTTTTTGGGCCGTGGGGGGAGAGAGATACGCACATCTGAGCCGTGCGCTGTTTGTACCAACAGTTTTCCAGTGGCGGGGGTGTGTTCAGCGTGAAGGAAGAGGCTGCCTTTAGATTTTTAGCTAATTCACCTGCATTGCGAGCCACTAGTTTAGAGTTACGTCAGTGCTGACAGGTGGGGGGTGGGGTTCGGTAGACGGGCGCTCGGTTCTGTTGATGGGGTGGGGCGCCCCCGCTTGTATAATGGTAGGGGAAACACTGAGGGCTGTTGTAAACTAATTTTTTAGTAATCGTGTAATCTATAGATTATTCTGATTAATATTCGGGTAATCAAAAACAAAATTTGTCAGGTTCTGCAGTAACTACCGTACTCATTTTATGAGTGATACAAATACACGAAAAAACATTAAATAAACAACCCATTTAATTCCTCTTTTTAAAATATTTTATTGCTTAAGTTGAATTATTTTTAAACATCACATAAAAATCTAATTGCTCTAAAATAATTTTTATGGATTGGAAAATTGAATGGAATTGACAAAGTAGGATCTGGAAGGAAGGACATGATTTGTATTGAAGGTGGAGATGATCTTCTGGATCCTTCATCTTCCACCACGAACAGCAGCGGCATGTCTCTTGATGATCATATTATAAATGCTGTTTGTGAACTCAGCTGCTGCACAACCAAACATCCTGGAGCTCTTTGTACGAAGCTGTCCAACGTATGACTCTGCCATTCACTGAAAAGAAGAAGAAAATTATTAATTTTTTGTTCATTGTTATTCCTTAATACATTTTTAAGTGTACTTCAATGGATATTATAAAATTATGTAATATTGTTAAGTAATCTACACTTTCTGATGACCTGCTGCAATCAAAGTAACATTAGTTTGTCAGTTGTATTTGATTCATGCTTTTATTTATGTGTGACGTTTGAGGATGATTTAATTAAAACCCTCTGTCACTGAATTATATTTAACCATCACTTAAAAATCTAAATGCTATACATTTTTAAGGATTGGAAAACTGAATGGAATCTTTATGTTAGAAACTGAGTAAGATAGATCGATAATGTAAAGTTTGAGTTTGTACATTGAGTTCTGCAGACTATTATTATTTAGTCTTGATTAGGCCTGCAACTAACGATTATTTCAATAATCGATTCATCGGCTCATTATTTTTTCAATTAGGTGAGGGATTCGCGCGGTGGGGGGGGGGGGGGGGGGGGGGGGTGCAGTTTTAATTTCCACCCCTTTATTCCAAAATTGAACATTTGACTGACAGAAATTCACACAAAAAACAGGTTGCTATTTGACTATTCTGTTTGTAAAATATTGAATAATAAAAAATAAAAGTTAGTCAAATAAAAAAATAAATGTACACAAAAATATATACAAATGTATACTTTATACTTGCACAATATGTAGCTACTTTGTAAAATGCGTCCTTGAGGGAAGAGTGTAACCTGGATTAAAAGTGTGGATTATTGTAACCTGGATTAAAAGTGTGGATCATTGTAACCTGGATTAAAAGTGTGGATCATTGTAGTGAAACCTTCGTCTTCAACCATCGGCAGAGGCCTCGTGTCAGTGACGCTCATTTAAGGATGTTATCAGTGAAGACAGCTGCTGCTGTGGTGTCCATGATGTCTGTCCATCATGAAGTGTCATTGTTTGTTGTTGTTTTCTGGAATGAGAGAGTAAATATGTATTATAACATAATTTACAGCAACTCAAGAAATGCCTTGTTTCACTTACAGTGTTGGGTTCAGGCAAAAGTAGCTAAAAGAGCAATTAAACAAACACACACACACACACACACACACACAAATCGATAATGAAATTCGTTGCCAACACTTTTAATAATTGATTTTTATCGATTTTATCGATTCATTGTTGCAGCTCTAGTCTTGATTGCTGAGCTATAAACAAATATGACAGTAGTAATAAATGCAGATTAATCCCAGTTTTCAGTCATAAACAACAGTAGCAAGAAGAAAAAATATCCTAACTCGTTTAACTTTACATTTATAATATTCACCCTAAATATCTCATTTAAGTTAGGATGGAATTTCAGCAATAAATAAATGCATCAGTCTGATGCTGCTTTTATCTTTAACAAACTTGCATCAAGTCCTGCAGTTTTTTTTTCTCACACAACGTACAGACCCTGCCAGGTAGCCACTATGATTACAGTAATTTAACGTTAGCAAAAAATATGCCTCATTTTACATCTATAACATGACAGATTATGTCAATGTCAATGTCAATTTATTTATATAGCACATAAAAACAACAAAAGCTGACCAAAGTGCTTTACAGTTAAGACAGATTAAAAATTAAAAAAAGAGTAAAAATGCATCTAGTGCCACTCAAAAACATAAGTTGACAGTAAAAACAACACACAACAACAATAAAATCAGCTCAACTTGTTCTCAGACTCTGCGTGGATGAAATGCCAAGGAATACAGATGAGTCTTGAGCAAAGATTTAAAAGTCTCAACAGTCTGAGCGGTCTTTAAATTCTCAGGTAAACTGTTCCACAGTTTTGGAGCAGCAACCGCAAAAGCTCGATCACCTCTGGATTTAAGTTTGGATCTGGGGACATCTAAGAGGAACTGGTTGGTAGACCGGAGTGCTCTTACTGGAGTGTAGATGTTAATGAGATCACATAAATATGACGGGGCCAGACCTTTTAAGACTTTAAAAACAAGCAATAAAATCTTAAAATCAATTCGGAAGTGGACAGGAAGCCAGTGGAGAGAAGCCAGGACAGGGAACAGATAGATTATCACATTTAGGTTCACGTATTTTGCACAGAGAACATGATACCTGTTACAGCTGTGGACGAGTTTGATGCCACAGTCGGTGTGTTCTC